GAGGGTCAGCACTTCTGCATCGCAATCATTCTAACTGGATCATGCAGCCTCAGAGTGCGGAGCCACCATGAGTGTTCTCTCCATTCTTCCCAAGCATCTTCCAAGCAACGGATGATCCAAGTGTTTGGTGGTGACCTAGAATGGGCCAGCCCCCAAGCACCTTTTGGAGTTCAGTCGAGTCATCTCAGACCCATGGCTGATTAAAACCTTAAAATGAAGAACCGTGAAGACTCAACCCAGATTCTGGATTCTCAAAAATTAAAGATTCCCAGACTTCAGAGCCTGGGACTCAGGGAACTCTAAAGCTATGAAATCACACACTTTCAGAACTAGAAGGGACCCAGTGTGGTGGTCCTCAGCTTACAGGTCATGGAAATGAGGCGCAAAGGGCCAAGTCCAGTGGCTTCCTCTTTGCCTAGTTAAGCCATCCTCCCTTCTTCTCTCCCACCTCCCTCTCCCTCCCCTCTTTCATCTTCCCGCCACTCCCACACCCCCTCACGGTCTTCGGTGAGCATTCCCCAGCCGGTTATCCAACAGGACACATTACTGGGCAGCTGCATGTTCCAGGATGGGAGGCAGATGGGGACAATGTAGGAAATGAAGTTCACAGGCGGGTGCAGCTGCAACATGGCAATGTCACTCCCAAAGGGGTGGAGCTTCTCAAAGTCTGGGTGGGTGATGATCTGGTACACAGATATCTTCCGGGTGTGCTGGGTTTCATGATACAGTTGGGTGTTTCCCAACAGAACCTGATAGTTCTCCAGGGCCTGGGATTTGCTGGAGGAGGAAAGCCCCATTTTTACCATCCTCTAGGAGTGCAGAGCAGCACCTTCTCTTGCATCCACGTGTAACTGCCCACATACCTCTGGGTCCTTCTCCCCTGACATGATTCCAGACAGCTTTGTATCCCCCTTTCTGACAGTCAGGAGCCCTCTTTTTTTTTGAGACTGAGTTTCACTCTTGTTGCCCAGGCTGGAGTGCAATGGCACGATCTCGGCTCATAGCAAACTCCGCCTCCCAGGTTCAAGTGATTCTCCTGCCTCAGCCTCCCAAGTAGCTGGGATTACAGGCATGCGCCACCACGCCCAGCTAATTTTTTGTATTTTTAGTAGAGACGGGGTTTCTCCATGTTGGTCAGGCTGGTCTTGAACTCCCAATCTCAGGTGATGGGCCCGCCTCAGCCTCCCAAAGTGCTGGGATTACAGGTGTGAGCCACCGTGCCCTGCCATGGACCTCTTCTTTTTTTGAGGCTAATGGATAGTCTACTCACAACCTCAGGACATATGGCTTCCCCAGCACACCCCTGAATCAGAGGAGCAGAGAATCCTAGGGCCAGAAAAGTCCTGGACAGAGTCATCAAATCGAGCCCTTTTATTTTACACAAGAGGAGCTCTGGCTTAATTCTGGCTCCAGCCTGACCTTTCTGAAGGCTGCCTATGACCCGCTTCCTGGCCTAACCACCTTTCCTGCCCTCTCTCAGGGTGTCTTTCCCACTGTTGTAAGCACTCATACAGTATTTGTTCAATGCCCGGATGAATGCATGAAACTGAAGCTCTCCTTGTTCCTGAACACAACTGACGAAACTTCTGACCTTTGTCACTTTGTTCACACGGGTCAGCCACCAGGAAAGCCCTGGCCACACTCCCCATACCAAAGCCTCCCCTTCTGGGAAGCCCCTGCGGCTCCTCATCCTCCCTCAGGGCTGCGGCATCTCTCCGGACGCCCCTGCCTCGGGTCAGCTCTTGTCACCCACTCTGCGCTTTCCCTCCTACATCCTGCTTGTTGGAGCTTGTGTCTCACCTTCCCATAGAGACACCTTCACTTGGGGTCTTGCCACACCCTATGCCATAGAGGGTCTTGTGTGGTGTGGCACAAAGGAGATGCCCACAGTGCCCAGTTGGAGTCCCAAAGCCACTAAGTGTCCAAGCTGACTCCCTACCTGGACTGTGATACCTTCCTCTCCCTCTGGGTCCCTCCAACTGTTCAGAAGCTGGGCACTGAGTCAGGTTCAGGAGGGCCAGAGGAGTTGCACCCGGCTGTCCATGTCACTCTCCAGGGTCAGGCGGCCCCACTCTTCCCACCCGTGCAGCCTGGCACAGCTCCTCCAGGCATAGAGTTTTACAGAAAAAAAGAATCGCCTGGCCACTGGCTACATGCAGAGTCCCCAGTCCCTGCTGGAGTCTGACTCACAGGAGAGTGTGGACACTGAGGAAAAGCCCTGCTGGTGGCCGAGACAGGCGCTGCCAATGCTCTCAGGCACGGCTGGGTTGAGCAGACAGACACAGGGGCCAGGGACCCCCCTGCCAGAGCTCAAGATGGAGGATCAGGAGGGTCTGGGCAGATGGAGGAAGCACTGGGTGGAGAGTGGGGAGGACAGTCCTGGTAGAGGGGACCGCGGGCCGAAGGCAGGCACCACATTAGTTTGGTGGCAGCAGACTTCCCCAGAGCAAAGCCCAGAGGAGAAAGACAGAACCCACCCCAGCCTCGTCCCTTGCATCTTCCTCCCCACCAGCCCCTCTGCTGGGGGCCCAGGGAAGGAGGACTCACTTGAGAAAGCAATGGGCAGTTGACAGCAGCCAGCGGGAGTCGATGAGGACAGCTCCGCAGAGGTGTGAGCCCCGGTAGAGAAGGCTGGCCTGCCATGGCCACTGGCCAGCCGCTGCGTCCTGGCCACCATAGATCTTCCCCACCACCTGAGGCTTCCCACACACTGTAGAGACACCCCCGTCCACCTGTTAGAGACACTAGTTGTGCCCATGAATGCCACCCCAGTGAGGCCTCTGCTCTCTTCACAAATGGGAAAACCAAGGCCAAAGAATAGGTGACCTGGCCAAAATGACCGAAGGCTACCACAGCATCTGTCTTCTATGGCCACTACCAGGACCAGATGACAGAGCACAATTGAGCAGGCTCTGTGGGAATTAGGGCCCAGGGGTCTGGCGGGAGGGGCAAGGCTGACCCAGTGTGGTCGCAGCAGCTTATCCTTAACCAGGCCTGCCAAGGACGGGTGGACTGGAACCCAGCCCTGGGACTTTATTTCCCCACCAGAACACTGTATGCCCTCTCCACCCCACCCCAGTAGCCCAGGGAGAGAGACCTGCAGGCAGAAGTCTGTTGTGCTGTGTGACTTGGGAAAACTTGCTCCCCCATCTGATTCCTGTTGTTTTATTTTTTAAAGGTGAAGGGTGGGGCTGCTACGGACAACGTTGGTTCTGAGACTCCTGCCTGGGAGGCGGAGCTGTGAGCCTGGGCTCCTGAGAGGCAGTGCCCTGGTCCCTGGCCTGTGCTTCCAGGCCTCAGGAAGTGGACATGAGACCCCAGGGCCCATCCCATTCTCGGCGCGCAGCAGTCCTGGTGCTCTCTCCCTTCACCCAGCCCCAGCGCCAGGCCCCGGCACCCCCATCCAGTTCCGTGGGCACCACACCCAGTCCTGGGACCGAGAGTGGGCAGCCTGACCCCCTGACCAACTGTGCCTGATGCCGTCTCTGGGGCCACCTGGTTGGGAGCAGAGGGGAAAGACACAACGGATTCGGGTGACTTCCGGCCCTAGGCACCAGGCCCAGAGCCCCGCCTCCTACCCACCACCTGTGGCCGCAGTTCCCCCATGTCTCCCTCACGCTGCTCACCCCACCTGGTCTTGCCGAGACCTCGACCCCCTGCCCCTGTGGCCCAGGGGCCCGCTCAAATGCTCCCTGCGCCCTGCTCTCTGCCTCCGAGGTCCGCTCGGCCCCACGCCCTCTGCTTCAAACGGACCTTGAGTTCTGACTGCGGGCTCCCGGCCCTCCTGCACCCCCGGGCTCTCTCCGGCCTCCCCCGGAGCCTGCGAGGGACTAGGGGCGCGGGACTGCGGGGCAGGGGCGGCCTTTGGGCTCAGAAGCAGCAGCAGCAGCAGCAGCAGCAGAGACCAGAGCAGGGGGCCCGGCTGGCCTCCGGTCCGCGTTGCCCCCACACACATCGCCTGACGCCAGGACAGGAGAAAGGAGAACTGGAGCCGACCCCGACCCCGCCCTGACAAGGGCGAAACAGGCGATGACTCCCGGCCCTGACCCCTGGGAAACAGGTCATGACCTCGCCCTGACCCCAGCCCCAGACAGGCGCTGAACCCAGTCCCTAACCCCGTCACGAGACAGCCCCTAACCCCAGCCCCTGACCCCGCCCATGCCCAGCCCCAGCCCCTGACCCCTGCCCTGACCCCTCCCATGTCCAGCCGCTGACCCTGCCCTGTCCCTGCCCCTGACAGGTTCTGAACAGATGTGGCAGCCAAATTAATGAGGAAACAAAAGGAGACTTAAGCTTAGAAAAATGATAAAGGATATGAAAAGGTAATTCATGGAAACAGGAATTAAAAGACCCATACTTCGGTTCCTGAGTAAAGTAATGCTTAATCAATCACTCATGGTTAACTCTGTCTCTTAACACAGCTGCTAAAAGTAGATCCTGTATTCCCTCAGCGAGATCCCTGTCTCCTTTTTCTGATTTTATTTGGATCGTCTCTTTTTTTTCTTAATCTGGCTAAAGGTTTGTAGATTTTATTTTTCTTTTCAAAAATCCAACTTTTCATTTTTGTGATCTTGTATTTTTTTTGGTCTCAATTTTATTTCTGCTCTGATCTTTTCTTTTCTTCTACTAATTTTGGGTTTGGTTTGCTCTTTACTTCTCTAGTTATTTGACAGAGTCTCACTCTGTCACCCAGCCTGTAGTGGCACGATCTCAGCTTACTGCAACCTCTACCTCCCAGGTTCAAGTGATCCTCCCACCTCAGCTTCCCAAGGAGCTGAGACTATAGGTGTGCACCACCATGGCTGGCTAATTTTTATAGAGATGGGGTTTCACCATGTTGCCCAGGCTGGTCTCAAACTCCTGAGTTCAAGCAATTCAGCCCAACCTTGGCCTCCCAAAGCTTTGGGATCACAGGCATGAACCACCAGCCCCGGCCACGCTTTTCTAGTTCTTTAAGATGTTAAGTTTTTCTACTCTTTTGATGTAAGCATTTATTGCAATAAACTTTTCTCTTAGTACTCCTTTTGTTGTATGCCATAGGTTTTGTTCCGTTGTGTTTTCATTTTCATTTGTTCCAAGAAATTTTGTAATTTTCTTCTTAATTTCTTCATTGACCAGGGGCATGTTGTCAAATTTCTATGTGTTTCTATACTTTTTCTTTTTTTTTTAGATGAGTCTCCCTCTGTTGTCCAGGATGGGGTGCAGTGGGATGATCTTGGCCATGATCAAGCCACTGCACTCCAGCCTGGACCCTGTCTTAAAAAAAAAAAAAAAAAAGGTCGGGCGTGGTGATTCATGCCTGTAATCACAGCAATTTGGGAGGCCAAGGTGGGTGGATCATGACGTCAGGAGTTCGAGAGCAGCCTGGCCAACATGGTGAAACCCTGTCTCTACTAAAATACAAAAATTAGCCTGCTGTGGTGGCACGTGTCTGTAATCCCAGCTACTCAGGAGGCTGAGGCAGAAGAATCACTTGAAACCGGAAGGCGGAGGTTGCAGTGAGCCAAGACTGTGTCACTGCACTCCAGCCTGGGCAACAATGCC